GTAGGAGAAAGAGAAGGAGGAGGAGGAGGAGGAAGAAGAGTAGGAGGAGGAGGAGGAGGAGGAGGAGGAGGAGGATGAGGAGGAGGATACAGAGAGTAAGGATAAAAACACAAGAAACAGGGAACAATGGGATCACATTGAGATGGGTAAAAAGAAATAAATGGCCAGAAAGAGAAACTGAGGAGGCAGACAAGAAAATGCGAAAGGGAGAAGGATGTTTGCCGGAGAAGGAATTGAACGCGTGACAATTACGAACCCATCTCGCCGCCTTTCGCCAAACCTAAACCCACTCTTCTGTCGGTCGGCTTACTTTCGGAGGAGCGATCAAAAACGCGCCACCAGCCATCCGCAACAGGTTGGGAGGCGCGAGAGTCGCTAGCCAGCGCCCACGTACGCGAATATGAAGCCTCTCCAAGCACGCAAGCGAGCGGGACTTCGTTTGCTATTCGGCGCAGACGACCCGCGCGATGTAGTCGCCCCGAAATCATCATCGCGGCCACACTTTAGGCGTCTGATATGTTATTTATTATCCACTCAGACGCAGGTGTAATGGGGCAGCGGTGGGTGAAGCAGGCGCGGCACGTAGCGGCTGTAAATGTTGATTTGTCCTGAGCGTTGCATTTGCTTCCCACCCGCCGGTGATAGCGGCACGTCATCGTGCGTGCGTGCGTGCGTGCGTTCATCTCTATTATACACACACACACGTGCGTGCGTGCGTGCGTGCGTTCATCTCTATTATACACACACACACGTGCGTGCGTGCGTGCGTGCGTGCGTGCGTGCGTTCATCTCTATTATACACACACGCGCGCGGGGCGAAGCGTCGCGGTTCGCAACCTGACAGCGAAATCGACGCTCGTGTTTAAACCTGCGCTCGTATTTCAGCCGCACTGGCCGCTGGGGAAATCAGCGTGGGAGGTTACACGCCCGATTAGCGACACGCACGCACGCACGCACGCATGCACGCACGCACGCAAGCCGTAATGCCGGCTCGCAATCACAGCCCGTCGGTCCGAATTTAGAATTTTACATGAAACGCGGCGAAAAATGAAATGTTTCGACTGTCGTTGTGCACAAACGAAGTATCTTCCTATAGTGATAGCGGCACGTCATCGTGCGTGCGTGCGTGTGCGTATGTGTGTGTGTGTGTGTGTGTGTGTGTGTGTGTGTGTGTGTGTGTGTGCGTGTGTGGGTGCACGTCGAAGCGTGTGCGTGTGTGTGGGTGTGCGTTAAAGCGTCTGTGTGCATGTGGGTGTGCGCGGTACTTTTTCGAACTTTATGTAATCATTGCACGACATGAAAGTCACGACTCCTGATGACGTAAGCATTTTTGCTGTAAAAAAGTGACAGAAGCAGCACTAGCGCGAACGCTGCGAAAATACTGACAGAGAGAAAGTTTGCATGTTTTTTGTACGCGCAGCAAAAGCAACATACATCCCCGATGTATGAAACACATTCGGCCACATTTCTAAACACTTTATATGGGGCATACAACAGTAACCCTGCGCAAATTGTTCACTATTTGGTCTCTAGAAAAGGCCTATTTTGGACATTTTTCGGTGAAATTCGGCCCTGGAGTGTAATACTTTGCATTATGCACGCAAGTTAGATGCCTCGTGGACGTCTAGCAAGCATTAGAAGTAAAATTGGTCTTGTCGTGTAGTTGTGACATTCCGTCAAGTGGGTAGCCATGATGACCGGTTGGCCATTTTTGTGTTTGAAATAGGATTCAACTACTTTGTAGAAATTCGCATCATAGAGCTGGCAAAAATTTCGAGCGAAGTATAGAGCATGAATCTGTAGTTATTTAACTTCTACTGTTACACTTAGAACTACGTACCTTCTACTACAGTAAACGGTAGTAACACAATGAATAAAGTGTGTGTTGTGTATGTGACGAAGCACTGAGTATTTTTAATCAACTTCTGTTCGATGCTTATTCAGGCCTGCTGCCTGTGGACGCCTTCTACTGTTACAATTCTACTGCGCCTTACACGCGCGTCACCTATGTATGAGGCCGTAACCACTTACCGCCCATTGAATGACCCGAGTGGGAGTTGTGTTGAGTCACGGGAGAGAGAGAGAGAGAGAGACAGTGAGAGAGAGAGAGAGAGAGAGAGAGAGAGAGAGAGAGAGAG